TCATAGAGATTTTGCGATCTGGTGGAGCCTGTTTCAGAATTTTGGGTTGCGTCGGATGCTTTGGGCTACCCAGCCAGCTTGGTTCACATCGGTGGATGTCGGAGATTTGATGCGATAGCACATTTGGGGATTCAGAGGCGTGTTTGATTATCAGGTATTGGGCTTCTGACTTTGTTCTTGAAGCAGGTATGTCACATTTATACTCTTCGGCACAGGTGTTTAGGTGGGATCACGATCCTTAGTGTAAGGACATCGCAGCGGGTGTGAGAGTGATTGCTACTCCACGTTGGGGTGGGAAACTCCGCGATCGTATACTGCATCATTTGGGATTCCAGCTGATGTGACCAGATAGGGAATCGTGGTTGGATGTTGGATGAGATCGGATCGCGTTGATTGATTTCGAGCTGCAGCATGGTAGTTGTAGTCTGGATCATGGCCATTGGTTCGTCTCAGTGGTGGAGGTGTTTGAGCGCTCATTGGAGTGTTATCAGCCGCCAGAGTTGGTGGAATTATTGGAGAAGCGTTGCGAACGCTTCTATTAGACTTGAGGTCGTTTGCGGGCCATTTGGGTTGAACTACGTTCGGCTTGATTCTTGGGCAAGAGGATACGTAGGCAGTCTTTCAGGATGCAGGGCCGCGTTTGGATTAGTTGATGCGGGGTGGGAGATCGATTTTGGGTGAGGACATTGACATTTGTGGGGTGATGTGCTTTGCTACTCCGCATTTGGTCTCAGCCAGTGAGCTATTTTTACGGTGTAGTCGGGTGTAGGGCCATTGATTGGTGAGTAGACACTATTTGTTTTGGGTTGAAGGTTCGCACTCCCGTTTGGGGTCTCGACTTGTTGTTGTGTTGTGCGGTTTGTGGTGTGGCTGTTTGGTGTGGTACGTGGTGCTGTGTTTGGTGGGATGGGAGTCCGTTGTCATGATCCGTGCTTGCCATGGTGTACTGGGATTAAATAAGTGAGGCATTTGGTTTTGGTGGGTTCGGCTCGTTTTGGGAAAACTTCGTCGAGTTGGAGAATTGGAACACGTGATTTATGGCACCACATGTGGGAATTTGTTTTCAGCGAATGAAGTTACACCCTGAGGGGCCCACCTTCATGTTAGTTCCGTGTGAGAATTCTTTCCGCGTGAAGAAGTTCTAGCGCCCACCGAAGCATCCTATAAAGGGAGAGAATTCCTAGGCTTTCGTGCAAGGAGTGAGGGGGGTTCTTTTGGCGGCAGCAAAAGCAAGTAAAGCAGGCGGTGCAAAGCCTGGGAAAAGGCCACGCAGCAGAAAGGACGGCTACAGTTCCAACGCCAGAGACTTGGCGGCGCTGGATTCTCGCAGGCGTGAAAGATTTTTCGGCGTGGAATAAGCCGGAAATTCGACAGAGCTGATGTTGGCTGTTGGTTAGGTTTTGTGTAGCCATTTTTTAGGGTTTTGGCATCCTTTTTGAGAGGCAGATTTTGTGCTGGGGAGGGATCTGAGAGTTTGTGGAGAGGGTTTAGATTGTTGGAGATTAAACCCCAGTTGTATCTTCTCCCTCTAATGTACATCCCCCCCTCTTGGGCCCGGTGGACGTAGGCAGTTTGCCGAACCCACGTAAAATTGTATTCATTGCCGTGATTTCATAATAGCTTGTAGGATCCCTCGACGCGCAGTCCTAGAGCTGACGGAGAGGAAGAGCAAATATCCCACCTCTTGATGGGATATTAGGCTTTCAGATTTCTATGTTCCCTTTGAGAAACAGAATTCCATTGTATTAATCTCTTGTTGTGCACCTTGCGGCACCGGAGGTGCTGCCGAAATTTCCGGCTGCGCACAACAGTCGGGCAATGTCGCCTACGTCCACTGGGCAAGGAGGGGGGATTTCACTAATAGAAATCAAGGGGAAAGTAATACAAATTAGGGTTACAAATCTACCCAAAAACCCTCAAACAACTTCACTTGATCTCTCCAATAGACTCCAACAAAAGAAGCCCTTGAAAATCCCCTTCAGCAGCTCAAAATCTCCCTTGCATAAACCCTAGAACAACAACTTGGGTATTTATATGAAACCCAGTTGAAACGGGTCTGGAAAACAGACCCAGGCCGAAACCCGATAGTCGGTCGACCGCAGCACCACTGCCGGTCGACCGCAAATTATCCCGAGGCCCAGTCTGCTCTCTGGACAAATCGCGGTCGACCGCAGCGTCTCGTCCGGTCGACCGCCCAAAGTCCAGAGGCACACTAAGAATTGTGTGCACATATCGGTCGACCGCAGAACCATTGCCGGTCGACCGCCCAACTTCCAGAGGCATACCTCTGATTTTTCACCAACTCTACAAAAGTAATTGTACAAAAACAGTTCTCTGGACAATCATTCCCAGGTTTTCAATCGAAGGATCTGTTGACTTGATTTCAACATTAGATTTTTACTGTGTGAACAACAAAGGAACACACAGTTGGAACTTACAACCAAGAATTATTCAGTAAAATATGGTAAAAGGGGATGCCAGGAAAATGAGACCAGTTTCAAACCGTGGAGGGAATTGCCCTATGGGGCACATATTCTTCAAATGAATAATTACAAAGTAACTTTTCAGTATTGCAGTTTAATAGTCAATTGAAATACCACTCAAGTTACCCTCTGAAAGAATCATTGATAACATTGGTTGGAGATTATTATTAATGTTCTTCTATCACATTATTAGTTGCTTTCTGTTAGTTCCTACTTTTATCATTGTTGATGGACTCCACAGGTTATGTGCTTATGGACTTATGCACTGCGTATATTCTCCGCCAATAGTGACATAAGAATGCGAAGGCAAGCAACATCTTACTCGATGATGAACTGACACCTTCTATCAGCAATTGTGGACTAACTGTGTTGGGGACTCTTTTTGACTCAACCGAAGGTAATTGCTCATGCTTTTCATTCTGTAGTATAGATGTTTTTTAGTAGATTAGCTTCTTCATAAGCTTATGGTGTCGACAAGATAACTACAGCAACAAGAAAACCTTTATCCAAATTTATTGGGTTTGGCTATGTGAATCTTTTTCTTCCAACTCAAATTATTTTAAGGATTACCTCCACCACTAAATTAACTATAATTTTATTCTTCTTAATTACTTTCAACTAAGTTTTTATAGGCCTACTACCTCTTACTATTCTTTAATATTTAATTAATCTTATCACTTTCCTAATTAGAGCATTTAGTGGTCTCCGTCGCTGACAACGCACCATCTCAGTCGATTTTTTTTATTTTCTTCTCAATAAGAGCAACCTCTAATTTATTTGAACCGCACCTATTTTCTTATCCAATCTTTTAGGTATATCCACATGTCCGTCATATTTTCTCATTTCTGATATACTCATTTTCACACATGTTTTTTAATTGCCCAACATTTAGATCTATAATGTATTGTTGGTCTTACATATGTCCTACAAAACTTTTCCTTCGCATAGAGCATTTTACGATCACATAGGACTCTAAAATAAGGAAGATCCAGTTGAAATGTACTAATTTTCTGTAAGTAGTTATAAGCGTGACTTGACCCTTTAGGTCCAGGAGCTGGTGCCTAATCCCCGGCCAAGACAAATATGAGCAAGAAAGGGCCTTCCCATAATTGCATAGGATTTTTAGTATTGTCCGAGTAGGGTTAAATCTGTAATTTGATGTACACTATAACTTATTGAGAGGACTACCTAATTATATTTTAGCATATAATGTTTAGCATGATGAGTATGTGAATGAAGTTTGAAGGGTTTGCTCAACCTAGTTCCATCCTCTGAAAATTTTTGATACAAGATACTAAAAGGTGTTAGCATTAGGCCGCAATTTCCTTCAAAGTATTTTTGTAGTACTGGCAGAAGTGAATATTATATTAATAGAGAGTCCACAAGTTCTAGCATCTGATCCTTATTTATGTGGTCAGAAATAACCTCTTTCTACTTGTTATATCTGTTGAAACTTTTCAGGAAACTAAATACGTAATTTATCTTGAAATTTGAGATACGGGTAAAACCTTACATTTGATGCAACAGAGAAATACTATTCTAGAGCGAATGCCCTACGTGATGAACTTAGATATGGAGCTTGATATAACCTAAAAAGGGGGAATAGCGAATTAACGTCTTTTCATTAACCTGCATCTGATCAAAGGATGTTATCACTTACCTTTAGGCTTTGCGTTGAAGCACCATTCATTTTTTTTTCCAGTCACCTTCAGCTACAAATTTGTACTCTTACTTATGGCTTTGATGGTAAAGAAGAAAAAAATCATGAGTTTGAAGTTAATGGTGAAGTTTCTTTCAATTGGCAACCATGCTAGGCAAGAACCAGACGTTGTAATTTGATATCTTTCGAAAGAGAATTTCCTTGAGAATAATAAACTAATATCTCTATCCATTTTCATTTAGGCTCTGTTTGGTTTGATAGAAAGGGAGAGAAAGGAAAGTAAAATAAAAGAGAGTGTGTTTCTATTTTTTGGTTTAAAAGAAAATAAAAGAGAAAAAGAAAATAATTTTCACGATAGAAAAAACGGTATATATTTTTTCTTTTCCACTTTCTCTCCGCTGCCAGTGAAAATGAGGGGGAGAGACGGAACCGCCTTGCTCGTCGCCTCCCAACCTGATCCCGATCTCTCGCTTCTCCTTCCAAAACTCGAGTCCATCTCCTTTCTCTTTCGCCTCCTTGTTCTCTCTCCTCTCTCTCTCTCTCTCTCTCTCTCTCTCTCTCTCTCTCTCGATCAAATCCCAGTTTAATGCCGATCAAATCCCAGTCCGATGCTAATCAAACCGTTGTTCAACTTCTCAGTTTTCGACAACAAAGCGACACTATAGCTATCCGATCGGATTGGTTGTCTCAAATTTGCTGAAGATTCGAGTTCTCCTCTCAGATCACTCTCCTGTGAAAATGAATCTAGCGAAGAAAAAACTCAATGATTCATCAGTTGAGGCAAAAAATTTTCGATTTTTATGGTATTAGATATTATAGTTGCAACTAGTATAATTGAGACTTCAGCCCTTATTTGATCTATGTTGTGATCATAGTTAAGGGGGACCTATTGATTTTAACCTCACTTTTTATTGGGTATTTGCTTGGTGGTTGTTGATTATTGAGTATTATCTGGTTTTAGTAAAATTAATCTGAAACCTAAGTAGATGAAAATAACTGATACGTTGGTTTGGTAAGTTGCTCGTATACTGAGGTTACTAGCCCTTCATTCTGAATGTAAATATGTGTGCATTTGTTGCTGTCATTTCTTACTGTCAATTTATATTCAAGACCCCTGCAGAGGGTTCCTTTGTCTGTAGATTATTACTTGCTTCTTTTGCTCAATACCTTAAAAGAGAGCTGTTGCATTCAAGATTCAACTAAATTTGGGTCAATTGCTTCTTTTGCTCAATATTAAATTTGGGAGCTGTTGTTGTATTCTAAACTTGGGATAAAGGGCAATGGAGGAAGCATTTTTTGAAGTAGCAGTTGTTGACATTATTCACTTTTGATTTCTTGCAGAGGTTCACTAATGTCTACTGACATTCTGTCCTTAATTAGTATCAATATTCAGAATTTGTATATATAGATGATTTGTAGATTCTTCAACCTGTACATTGGCAACTTTGAGTTTTGGGGTATATTATCAGAAACGTTTGAGTATGATTAACATTGATATAAGAGGAGTTTTTAGTATTTGAAACTTTAGGAAAGAACATTTGTTTATGAATTTGCAACATTTTGGTGCCATCCATGAAACAATTTTTTTTGCATACTCTCTAACGAAAAGAAATTAAGTTGATTGATGTCTGGTTCCTATAGGTTTACACAACAAAGAACACCAACCATAACTTCTATTCTACATATCGGATTGATGTGTCGTTTGCGGCATCATGAATATAACTGATACGACCTTTTCATCAATACAATTAGACTCAGATGAATGCTTGGTTTCTCCCCTCAAAGCGACTGAGTTGGAAAATGTTGTACATATGTACATGCTGTAGAGAAATGCCTATAACTTTCTGTGTACATTGCAGATTGAAGTGAAACCTTCTCCATTTGAAAGCAAATTTAAAGACCTATCTATCAATACATTAATTGTAGTCACATGATTTCATTTGGGTCCTGACATAGTCAAATAAAGTGACTAATTTTACAGAGACCTACTCTGTTCAGATTTTGTTGACAAATCACCGATTGGATAGTAACTAGACCTCGTCGTTGTTTAACCTGGGAATAGGAAAACAATCTATTAGCATGCACTAGATAATCATATCCGGTAAAATATGATGATCACATATATATGTATATGATGTGAACGTGTAGGATTCCTAATCTGAGATATGATGTTTGAAATCATGGATTTTACTTGAATACCAGGCAGGTAACAATTCCACAATTTTCTATTCCTTCATGGAACTTTGAACCTTGTTTCTCGTTCATTTTTACATGATTTCATTTGGGTCCTAGAATAGCAAATGATGATTGCCTATCTCAAGGACAATCTTGATTTGTGCCGGCTACTAGCATATTCACATTAAAAATTCAAAATTTAGTTCCAATCCTTAAATTTCCATCTTTCAATCATTAATTTTTCTGCTAATTCTTATTTCAATGCGAGATTAAGAATTTGTAGTGACATTGTTAGAAAATATAAATGTTATAGTTCAGTGAGATTTCACCCCTTCTTTACCTTTGACTATGAACTTCAGAGTTTAGTTTGTGACGTGCTTACTAGAGGAAGTGTTTGAATTTGTAGACAAAAGAAGATGATGAATGGGCAGTACAAAGGAAAAAGATAAAATGTTCAGCAATTCAGCAGGGATTGTGGCTGCATATGCAGCATATGTAGGTGCTATTATGGTAACTAATATCCACCAAGTAGAGTATGTAGATAGATCTATCTTAGCTCAAAAAGATGAACATATGAACTTACTTATGGAGCGACTTACTCAACAAAGTGACATAGGCTTTCCTTTGGTATGCATAGGATCGAGTTATGGATAAGTGCCATATTGGAACAAAAATTAGATGATTCCTTGCTATTGACTTATGAAGTTTGCTTTCATGAGGATCGAATTAAATGAACTGACTTGTATCTTTAAAGTGCAGTCACGTGGGCAGTTTTTACCTTGAACAAAAGAAAAACCAATCTACGGTCTACACTGAAAATAACCTTCTTATGTGGCATGGATTTGTATCTTAGGAAAGGAAGAGTACTTGTAATTGTTTAGTTCCTAGTTGAACACCTTCTATGCACTGCATGAAGTAGTAAAAATATGAACACGAATTGATTTCATTTGTCTAATATATTTTGTTTGTCTCTGTTAGAGGAGTATATTGTGGGACGTGGGTGCTACTACTAGAAGAGTATCCAGATAATTTCCCTTTCACATGAAATAAGTGAATATCGTATGTTGCTGACTTGTTGAAGCCATCAGTATGCTGATTTCCCGCTTCAATACCTATAGTGTGAGTTGTGGATTATATTGTTTGATTGGGTTAGAATTCTATTTTAGAGTGTGTATATGCCTGTGCATATATGTATGCATACGTTTGCATGGGTGCTTGCACGCATGCGTGCACGTGAGTGTGCATGTATGCATGTATCTGTGGCTGGAACTCTTTGAGCTTAATGTTACATTCTGAAAAGAAATTAACTGACCCTCCAAATTTTAGTTGCTACTGATAATATATACCCTTTTTATTTGTAAATGTCTCCACTATTTAGCATCAACTAACTGGGTCACAAATAATTAGGCTCCTATTACAACATATCTCTTCTGAAGGCTTTGTAGTTAATTTTAATTTTGAATATGTTCATGTTATGCTCCTGGCGAGACCATTACATGATTGTTTTCTTTTTTAAACTGTCATCTATGTATTTGAGATTAGTAACTTTGTATAGCCATCTATTTGGTGATCTATTTCATTTTTGGATGCTTATGAGTTGAGATCTACATGACATCTTACAAGATAGGATAGCATGGACAGTTTACCAAAAAGTGCTCCAAAAATAGTTGCTTTGCAAATTCAGGAACACTATGAAATTAAAAAGATTATAGAATGTCACTATTACATTGTGTTCTACAGTAAATTTTTTCTAGTTCTAAGTTTATTGCTTTGAAATTCTTTTCTCCCATATTGATTTATGTACACATTTACAATAAGCATGCCTTCAAGTTATCTCTCCGTTTGGAAGTATTCATTAAATTTCACAAGATTAGAACATGAAGCCACATGTTTCTGGGACAAACTTAACATTACGATGATTAGTCACTTTCATCATTTCTGATGATTAGCCTTAAGAAAAGAACCATGATATGACGATTGATAGTTTCATTTTGCTTCTAAAAGAATGTTAAGACTTCATTTTATAGGTTTTTGATGTTTTTTTTGTCAATATAGGTTTTTTATGTTCATATTCTACTTATTTGAATTTTTTGAATTAATTTCAGGGGATGAATGATGCGAGATTGATGTTTTGATGGGCTCACTAAAGTCAAAAACCAAGGACTTTGGCATATTTCTCTCTCTCTCTCTCTCTCTCTCTCTCTCTGGTTAAGATTCTCTATATGAAATTGATTGTAATAGAATTTGTTTGTTAAGATTTTCTATATGAAATTGATTATAATAGACTTTGTTGGTTAAGATTTTCTATATGAAATTGATTATAATAGACTTGTGACTAGAAATTGATTATACTTTATATTAGGAATATTGATTATAATAGACTTGTGACTAGAAATTGATTATACTTAATATTAGGAATATCATGACATTTATTTTAGATTTGTTTTGGTTCTTTCATTGACCTTTCTTTCTACAAATATTATGTGTTAGAAATGTTGTTTTTTAATTAGTGGAATTGTGGTTGTGCTCTTGGTTGTTAATTATTTTTTGTAAATTATTTAAAATCTAAATCTAATTCCAAAAAGTATAAATAAAAATTATGTTGTGATAATTTCTTCCTCTTTTTCTCATAAAGGTAACCAAACAAGAGAAAATGACTTTCTTATGAATTTTCTTCTAACTTGTTTTACAATATTCTTTCTAACCAAACAATATAAAGAATATCATTTTCTTTTTCTTTTCCTTTCTTTTTTTACTTTCTCTTTATTTTTATTTTCTCTCATTCTCTCAAACCAAACATAGCGTTAGGATACCACATGAGTGCCGTGGGAATTATTGCCGCGTAAGGTAAATTTAGTTCAATTCTGTATATCAAACATGTCGTCTCCGCTGTCTCATAATCATAATCAAGCCTTCTCGAATTAACCGAATTCTTTGTTACAAATCTACGCTCGAGTCTTCATATATCTTCTTCTTATTATTTCACCTGTTATTTTCTTCTTTCATATTACCTATAGTTATGACAACTTTCTAGACGCTAGAGAACTTTTTAGCTAGATAACAAGGCTATTACCCGTGTATCCGAAGAGAAAATTTATCACATCATCGACTTTACACGCTAATCAAACATGTCAATTAAAATATATAAAAATATTAGTACGAATTATCTATTTATCTTTGAACAATCGTAAGTTCTGGAAAGTTATGCTGAGAGCCTTCAGTTTGTGTTATTATGGTTCCAAATATTTTAAAACCGATGGAAAGTTTTTCTAAAACCGAACGTAAGTGTCAAATTTCGGTTCAGTCTCTCTCTAAACCCCAACGTAAGTAACTGAATACGTTCGACTACTATACGTCATTGCTGTTGTGCGCCGCGGAAGCCCTAAATTGACAAATCGAAGGCACACACAAGACAATAGTAGACCACAAACCAATGCAAGCCAACCAATCACAGCACAAACACAAGATATACGTGGTTCGGCAATATGCCTACGTCCACGGGGCAAGGAGAGGGAAGCTTTACTATTCAAATCAAAGGGGAGTACAAGTTAGGGTTACAAATCTTACTCAAAACCCTCAAATAAGACCAAAAGATCTCTCAAATAGACTCCAACAATAGAAGCCCTCAAATCTCCCTTTGCTCAGCTCAAAATCGCCCAACCTCTAACCCTAAAAACGAGTTTAGGGTATTTATACAACTCCCAAGCGAAACGGGTCTGGAAACCTGAACCAACTGAAACCCGCTTCGTCGGTCGACCGGGTCGGTCGACTGCGATCAATTCCGGTCGACCGACCCGGTCGACCGACCACCTCCAGCAGAACCCCGAAAGAATCCAGAGAGCCGTCGGTCGACCGGGCCGGTCGACCGACCTCCTTGTGCACGAATCCGGTCGACCGGACCGGTCGACCGCCAATAGTTCCTCAACAGGTCCAGGAACAATACTCGAGCTGAAACACGATCTCCCCCAATCTTGATCAACTGATCAAACCGGCTGCATCTAAAGACTGCCTACGTATCCTCTTGCCCAACCCACGGGTCTTCCCATGTTGGCATTTGATCGTCGTCTTCCATGGTGGATGGATCGGCTGTAGCCATATTTGACATTAGGGTTTTGAAGACTTCTCCCAGACTTGTATCGGAGTCCCACTCTGAAGCATCGGGAGAGTATCCTTTCTTGGCTTTGTTAGCAATTTGATCGATGATTTGCCAACCACATTCGTCATCTGATGAAACATAACCTAAGCCTCGCCCATATTTATAATAATCCTCAGGTTTACCTTTTGGTACATATACTGCTTTGGCTGGATTACGAGGACCTCGATCGAAGTATAAACCTTCTCCGAGTGTGAAATCGTAGCCCTGCTTTTCCATGAGCTTGCGCGCTTCTGGACTATACTTGGATAGATGTCGACCAGGTTTGTCATCATCTTCGTCTTCACTTAGGAAATGATCTGGTAACGGAGAGCTTTTTCCTTTACCGTAAATCACTTCTTTAGCACCTCTTACTTTGTTCGGGATGACCATGGTTGTTCCGAAAGAATGCTGGAGGTGTTCCTTCGTTACATAGGATGATCGGATCGGCATATACAACTCAGGATTGTCGTACAGCTCTTTTATCACATCATCAAGAGACAAGGAGTACTCTAAATCATCTTTTATTGCAATATCGGCAAGTTGCCAGTTACAATCTGCATCTGACGATTGTTCATCGTCAAGATTGATTACAAAGGGTACAATGTCATTTAAAACAAAACCGCCATTGTAATCGAATCCGGCTTCAGAATCAGCTTCTTCTCCGCTGTCTGTGCCCTGGGCCGATGGTTCAGTATCGGATTCGTTACCATAAAGGAGAGAATCGGTGAAATAATTCTCATACCCCTTGAATGGTTGCTTATCCGCGACCACCGTCCTAACCTCATTGTCAGTGTCGACATACTTCAAACACTGATGGAGAGTAGATGGAATTATCACGTTACTATGGATCCAAGGCCGACCCAATAGTAAGTTGTACGAAGTCTCCGCATCGATCACATAACACGTGACTTCTGTCTTCAGATCTCCCATCTGGCACTTCACCCGGATCTTACCCAAGGGTCTTGACCCACTAGTGTTGAATCCATAAATAACAGTGCCTGTGGACGCCAACTTGCTTACTGGAATGCTGAGGAAATGCATCAATCGAAGCGGCATAATACTCACAGCAGAACCCGGATCCACTTGGATTCGGTTGACTTGGCTGGAGCCAATGTATCCGACGAAATATAACGGCCGATCGTGGTTCGAATTCTTCGTCTGCATATCTTCTTTGGTGAAAGTAATGCAGGGAAGGTTCTTAGTCGCTATGTTGCACTGTTGACTCAGCGGTTCTGGCTGTTCATGCACCGGCTTGACTTGAGTCAGAAATACCTCTGCATTGGCCAAAGCTTCTTGTAGGGCCTCCCTGGTTTCTTTGGATAATCGCAGCAACTCATACAGCGTTATCCGTGCAGGAATGTTGGCTAATTGCGCCATAATGTCGAAGCTATGCGGAGTCTTCGAGCTTTCCGGTTTGTCTCTTCCAATTGGACGACTGAAACGAGACTGCTTCGGATTCTGTACCTCTTGGGGATTCTTCTCTTTTGGTTTATTCGCCGGCTGTCGTAGAGCTTCTTTACCCGGTGTAGGACTCGTAATTACCCCCATCTCTGTGAGAGTTTTGGCTGGTCCCCGCTTGTTCACCCCCTGCTCACTAGGTGGCGGATAATTGTAGTGATACTCATTTCCGCTCCGTGTCGCAAAAGCTTCTTGTTCTTCTTCAGAGAGCGGGAAAGTGGGGATTCTTTCGTCATCTTCCCCTGGGATAGCAGAGACTCCATAACAAGACTTCCCTTTTCCTTTAGACTTCCTCCCGGATGACGAACCGGCCCATTGTTCATCTCCAATCAGATCTGGATGAACCCAAAGGATTTCGCCATTTGGGGTTGTGTGCGGCACAAGTCCCTTTTGGCGCTGTCCGTGCGGATCGTCATTCACCGTCTTCATCCCGACTTTGGTGACGCGTTTTGGCTCGAACCAAGTTGTAGGCACCGACCCAAAACTGATTGACACTGCGTTGGCCCCCACATTCTTGGCTGGTTTCGGGGTTATGACTCCTACGTCGATTAACGCCTGGATCTTGTCCTTGAGGTGGTAGCATGATCTCGTAGGGTGGTGGACCGCTCTGTGGTACGCGCAGTACTTTGGATCCGTCACTTTGCTGGCCCCTTCTTGATCCACGATCGCCGGCAACTGGTGTTGCTGCGGCTGTTGCTGAGGTTGCAATTGAAAGGTTTGATTAGCATCAACTGCATTAGCATGTGCCTTACCTTTCCCCCGTAGGACAAAGTTTTGCTTTGGAGCACTTGTCGCCGGTTGGCCTCTTTCCGGCTGTTGCTGAGGTTGCAATTGAAAGGTTTGATTAGCATCAACTGCATTAGCATGTGCCTTACCTTTCCCCCGTAGGACAAAGTTTTGCTTTGGAGCACTTGTCGCCGGTTGGCCTCTTTCCGCCTTCTTCCTCTTGAGGAATCGCTCAGCTTGCTCTCCCCGGACTTTCAAGTCCTTCCACGTCTTGGATGGTGCTGTCCCCATTGCCAAGGTTGTTGTGGCAAGTTTGGAGGATGAATTCCTCTGTGATCGGGTCCCGGCAATTCATCGCCTTGTTCCGGAACCTTTTGACGAAGGTGTCGACTAACTCTCCGTCTTTCTGCTTCTCATCGAGCAACGATCCGATAGATATCTCGGTGTCGTCGTTGAAGAAGTTGGCCAGGAACTTGGTCTCCATGTCATCCCAGCTGTTCACGCTGCCTGGCTTGAGGCGGCGATACCAATCGAAGGCGGCTCCGCGAAGAGTACCGACGAATGACCGCACCATCAGAGGCTAATTACCAGAGATCACCCCCAGTACGATTTGAAGTAAATCAAATGCTGGGTAGGTGAACCCATCCCATTAAACGGCGTGAAGTTAATTA